CGGGACCCGTGGCGCCGCCTGTGCTCTGGCCTCCCGGGCTGCGGGGTGGGTAAGCGGTGCCTCCGGCCGTTCCCTGCGGCGGAGAGAGGGGCCGCTGAGCAGGTGCCGGTCCCGGAGCCCAGCAGAAGGGCTGCGATTTCCTTTTGGAGCTGGGCAAAAGTTCCTTTCGTGTCCCCTTGCGACAGATCGGGGCAGGGCCCTCCTGGTGACCGCTCGGGGCGGGGGGGGGGCGGGGAGCAGCACCCACAGCTCCGCTGCCCAGCAAAGCTGTAGAGGTTAAGGGAGCAGTAGCCACACCAAAGGGTACAGTGCTGAGCCGTCTTTTATCAGTTGAACAGTTTTATCTTGGATAGGACCACGTACGGGGAGAAGGCATTGTGTAGCCACCATACAGAAGTTTACTGTGATAGACTCAAACAAGTACTTAACTTCTTTGCGCAGATTGGCTCAGTGGGACTGGTGAACGTCAAGGGATGTCAACTCCCCCTCTCGCTGGAGCGGCCATGCCGCCTGGTGCTTTCTCAGGGACGCAGGCTCAAGCAGCTCGGGAGGTAAATACAGCTTCTCTCTGTCGCATTGGCCAAGAGACTGTGCAGGACATTGTATTTAGAACCATGGAAATCTTCCAGTTACTGAGGAACATGCAGGTGAGAAATAACTTTCTTTTAATGGTCCTCAACTTCTCATGTTTTTACCACCAACTGCCAGTTTACATAGACACAGGAGACAGCTTAGGACATTTAAATACACAACTTGATCAAACTGCTTTGAAAAGGGGGATTGATTTGGAGAAGGGAATAATACTCTTAATACATTTCCTTACTCCTGTACATTAAGTGAAGATGAAGAAAATTCAGAAATGCGGAATTGTTATTGCCCCCACTATAAATGTACTCTAAATACACTTAATGTTTTCCTTTATGAATAGTGAAGTCTGCTTCTATGCTAGTTATGCTTCTTTGTTTTCGTTAACATCGGGGGAGTAATTTTAGAGGAATTTTCATTGATCTTTTTCTGCAATATTTTCTGCCTAGAACTTTTTGACATTTCTTTTTGTTTTTAAAGTGGACATAATCCTTATTTGTGGCCACTTACTGAGAAAGCATACAAACATTTGTTGTCTTTCTCTGTTGAGAGCAGAGGATAAATAATCACTCCCATTCCTTCTGTATTTTCATACTCTGGCAGTTTCCTTCTGTAATTATCTTAGGTATAGGTATATGTACTTAGAGTTTGCTAACTTGAATTCACTTTGATTGTGTCTCTGAATTGTGACCTGGGGTTGAGACACAAAGTCTCAAAGTGTAATATTCATAACAGAGAACAACAGTGTCATGCCTAAGCATTTTGAAGTCATTCACTGAAAAGAGTTACAGAGGGATTGACAATGACCAAAGTATGGAATACATGAAGCTGTTTTACAACAGTCATTTGGCACATCAGATAAGCAGATAAAATACAGAATTTTGCTGATAAGGCAAACAGAAATTTCCATGATTTCTGTGGGGATAGTGTGATTGTCATATTTTAAAATCTACAAAACCTTGTCTGATTTATTTTAGTTTGTTTATTTCATGTGATAGAAATTTTAACATAGTATTTTAACATTTTGGGGTTTTGGTTCTCTAAGTTACCAAATGGTGTTACTTATCATACTGGAACATATCAAGACAGACTGGGAAAGCTGCAGGAACATCTCCGTCAGCTATCAATACTCTTCAGAAAACTGAGACTAGTCTATGACAAATGCAATGAAAACTGTGCTGGGCTTGATCCTGTTCCCATTGAAGTAAGTATCTTTATTCATATATAAAGTACAAATCAGAATAACCACTCTCTGCTTAGTATCTTATCCATTCTCATGAGTTGCAGGAGTCTCATAAAAAGTTTTAAATGAGACTGGAATTGTTCAGTGGACTGAATTCTGTTTATTATTTGGAACTGGTTGAAAGACTGTGAAACTTTCACATTAACATCGACAATTCTTACCAATTGGGAGGGATCTGATTTTGAAATCAGACTTCATTTAAAATGTTAGCCTTTTTCCTCAGGCTTCTTGGTACATTCACCAGTTTGTTTCCACTAGGAAAAAAACAGAGTCAAAAGAGTCAGGACAACTTTTTTCTTTGAAGAGGTTGTTACAGTGGGAAAAAAGTCTGCTTCAAGCTCTCACCTGCCAGCCTAGCTCCCTGAGCAGTATGCATTGTTCCATTGCTCTGGCCATCAGTCTGTGCCTCCATAGTTCCCTCGCTCAGGTACTCTTAACGTGCTGAACCAAAATGAACCAAATCTGAATGTGCCATGGTGATGGAAAAGTGAACAGCCTAAGACTTCCAGGAAGCAGGATTGGCCAAAGTTTTTTCCTAATAAAAATGCTATTCCTAGTAAAACTTAATTTTCTCCCTTCATAAGTTAGATTGTTTCTAATTCCTAGTAATATTTCCAAAGCCTGTTTTGTGTTACGATTTGAGTTACTACAGCTCTATATTAACCAGAACTGTGAAGTTCTTTAACTACTGACCTCTGGATTCTGAGGCAACTCTATGAACTGACTTTTGATTGTCCATTGAGTTTTAATCATTTAAGCATTATATTTTATATTTGGATCTCTTCACTGAAGAGGAATAAAGAAATGAAGGAGTCCATTCTGTACAGTCGATTCTAGACTACTGATCTACTTCTGTCCACAGTCACTGCCATGTGTTTCAGGGAAGTGTATGCAGAAACCTTAGAGCAAGCAAGGGAGTAAGGTAACTTCCCAATTAAAAAAAAAACACTATTTTTTTTCATGATTTCTTGACTTGTGTGCAATAACTCAATACTTGTGTCCCCTTTAAAAGCTTTTGACGTGTCTTGTTTTCGCATACAGTTGGGATAAGGTGGTGTTGGTCTTCCGCCCCCACACATACAGTTTTTTCCCTGTTACCAGGTTGAAAAAGAATTTCTATAGAGAAAATGAGTAGTCCCTTTAAGCTTTTTTAATGCAAGGCCTCACTGATACCTTATGCACAGCAGAGTTTTGTATCAATAGTTGGAATTCTGAATTCTTTTTTCTTTTATCTATGTAGTCTTTTCTGCTTTGCAGTTAATAGAATGGCTGCCTCCTCATGTTTTATTAGTTAGGGTGAATGAAAGTGACACACCATTCCTCTTGGATCTGTTTTCCTAAATTCGTATTTCAGCTTTTCAAAAATAGTCTCAATCGTTTTATTTAATGACTGACATTCTAACCATACCTTTAAAGAGTATCAACAAGTCTCTTTTTTTAAACAGTCAAGAGAAGTCAGTACCTACTAATATTGATGTATTAGTATATTATTATTGATGAAACGTTTTTGTATTTTGTTGTTAATGTGTTAATAGGTATTCTTATCAACTCTCTGTTAACCAACATAGCAAGGCATGAGATAATTGTGAAGCAGATCTGGCTACAAAATTCTCTAGTTGATTAAATTTCCTGCCTCATTTGTGTGTTAGGTGTAGTTCTTTGCTTTTCTTTGTGTTTTTTTCTACTAGCTTTTCTGAAAGATGGAAGGTTTTCAAAGGAAATGTTCTATTTTGAGTGGTACATTATTTTTCCATGATAGAGACAAGGAGTTTTTTCCAGGAGTATTTAGCAGTCACACTACTTCTTCTTTATGGTATGCAAATATAGTAAGTTGTTAACCTTTACTACGTTTTCATGGCAGAGTTTACTGTGATATTTTTTGTCCATTTTGATAAGCTTAACAAGAATGGCCTATAGAAGGAAATTAAATCTTCAGTGGGTTAAATCAAAGTTAAGTTTTCCATCAGGAAGCTGAAGGATGATGCTGAATGCTTTGTATCAGAAATAATGTGGCCAGCAGGACTAGGGAAGTGATTGTCCCTCTGTACTTGGCACTGGTGAGGCTGCATCTCGAAGACTGTTCAGTTTTGGGCCCCTAACTACAAGAATGACATTGAGTTGCAGGAGCATGTCCAGGTCCAGAGAAGGGCAATGAAGCTGGTGAGGTGTCTGGAGCACGAGTTTTATGAGGAGCGGCTGCGCTCCTTCAGTCAGGAGAAGAGGAGGCTGAGGGGAGACCTTATCGCTCTCTACAACTACCTGAAAGGAGGTTGTGGTGAGGTGGGTGTTGGTCTCTTCTCCCAAGTAACTAGTGATAGGAGGAGAGGAAATGGCCTCAAGTTATGCCAGAGGAGGTTTAGATTGGATACAAGTAAAAATTTCTTCCCTGAAAGGTTTGTCAAGCGTTGCAACAGGATGCCCAGGGAAGTGGTGGAGTCACCATCCCTGGAGGTATTTAGAAGATGTGTAGATGTGGTGTTTAGGGACATGGTTTGATAGTGGACTTGGTGGTGTTAGGTTAGTGGTTGGACTTGATCTTAAAGGTCTTTTCCAATGTAAATGATTCTATGACAAAATTACAGCCCAGCCTAAGTAATAAGTTAATATGCATGTGATGAGCAACTTACTCCCAGATTTTTAAAGTAGTGTCTTCTTGCTCATTTACATCAATTACTAGTCTTTCATTTGTCTGTAATGTGTATGTGAACAAGGATGTAATTTTTTTATCAACTTCAACTTTTCTCAGTTCAGGACCAACAAATAAACAATAGTCTGTAGATTTTGTGGATGTATGTTATGTGTAAAATGTTACAGCTAATAATTTTGGATAAGATGTTAGTAGCTTGGGTGTGTTCTGACACAGAAGCATGTATTTGTGTCTATTATGTTTACTGTTTTTTTAATTTTTTTTATGAAGGCAATATGCATTAGTATTAACTTAGAAATGCTTTATCAAAGACTTTTGGCTTTGTAGAAGCTTACCAAAAAGATAGTACACTATATGCCTGAGGAGATCACAGTGGGAGATTCTTACAGAAAAAATCCTATTAGGTAACTGTGGGCCTGGTCTTAAGAATAGCCAAACAGAGGGCCACTAAAATAACAAGTCATAATTAGAGTATTAGCCAAGTAGCTATGTAACCCCAGTCATAATTATGTTTAATGTTTCACTGAAATACTTCATAATAATGATAATTTCTTGTTTGTGGTATTTCTTAGTGTGGAATAGTAAATTTTAGAACACAATCTATGGAGTTCAAGAATACGAAGATTACCTTTGATAAACATCTTAAAACATAAAGACTGGGTTCTGCCTGCAGTTGTGAAATTGCTTAGGTCTAGTCATGGTAATATGTGGGATTGTGTCTTTTTGAAATGCATCGTTTTCCTGGACAACAAACTGAAGTCGTTGCAAGGCCTTTGGGCTTGAGGTGATGAAGTAAGCCTGTCTCCACTTCCTCTTGGGAAGTTTGAACCTTTGGAGAAAATGGTAGTACCTTTTGTATTTCCTGTATCTCCTGTTTTTGGTTTCTTTTTTTCTTCTTTTTTCTTTTTTTTTTCCCTTTTTTTTATATCTAATGTTTCTTGTCTTCACAGCAACTTATTCCATATGTTGAAGAAGATGGCTCCAAGCATGATGATCGTGGTGCTGCAAGTCAGCTTCGTTTTGCTAGTGAAGAGAGAAGGGAAATCATGGAAGTAAATAAGGTAACAAAGTTGAAATTAATTTGCTTAAAACTGCCGCTTTTTCATTACAAAGATGAAATTTCTAGATTGCTGTACTAAATGCAGCATGTGTGATGACTACCATCAACTTCATTATAAATACTTCTTGCATGTAACTATTCCAGAATTACCTTTTAGTAAGCAATCTTTTTTTGGCTGTACCTCTGGCTGTAGAGTTTAGGTTTCCTGACCATTTTAACTTGTGCCTCTTTTTAAACTGATATATATTCTTTTATATATGCTGTATTGTGTTTATGTTTAACCCACTAGGTATCAGCAGTACAGATTGAGGTAGGGTGCCTGTTGAACTTACTTCTTTTCAAAACTTACCTTAGGTGTTAAAAAACTGGGTATTTAAAAATACTGAATGTCAGATGTGTAAATATTATCGCAGTGATGTGAGTTGGTAAACGATTTTCAGGGCTACTTTCTGCATTTTGACAGTTTAAGGAAAACAATTCCTTTTGTTAAATGTATCTATTGAATTTTGACACATTCAGAAAAAAAAGTACTATGTATGATAAAGATGCTGTTAAATGTTGAATTTGAGTGGCAGTATGCAGTTGAGTACAATTACTAAAGAAGGATTCCAACCTAAAAATAAATATGCTGTAGTAAATGCTAATATTGAGATTAAAAATATATAGTTTTACCAGACCACAATTTTGAACATTGTTTCTTCAGTCTGTAAAGTACAAAGATAAAAGGCATTAAATATTTCTGTAGCTGCAATGTCTGTAAATGTTTGGTAAAAAGGAAGCATAATCTTCAAAAATAACTGAACAAGGGAAATAAATGAGTAAAACATTTCTTTATGGAGAGAATAATTGGTGGATTTTCAGCTTTTGAAATATTTCTGATATTTTCATTTGTCTTCAACAATTGGAGATGTACCAAATTTTTCACAACACATTTATTTAGAAAAGTGCATGCATATTGTACAGGAGAAAATGAGGACTATGTGAATTTAGAGAAAAGCATTTGTCAGCTTTTCTGTTGTATTCTTTCTGTTCAGTGCTTGTGTAGCAGGGTTGTATATATTATATTGTATGCAGTGTTGTACCCTGAATTTATGCACATTTATTTGCAATCTTTAAGTGTTAATAAGCTTAACTGTCCATATTTGCTGTGGTTTTCATAGTTTTATGACATGTTTTTGCCCTTGTTGTTGTACTTGTATGCTAATATGTTTTTAAACCTCCTTGGCGTGATCTTGTGAAAAGAATTTCATAAATGTTTATGATGAGTTCTAAACCTTAAAAAGGTTGATGGTGTTACAGGACCATTGGTAGCAAACTGGTAATTAGGAATGTATGCAGACATTCACTTAAATCTGGTCTGAAATCCTGTATTTACACTTAAATGCCTAGACCTTGTTTCTAGATTTTCCACAGTAAATCTTCAGAAGATAATTGAACTTTCCGTAGTATTTTGGTGGACAAATATTTACTAACTGCTGCAAAAGAAATGTAAACTGGTTGTTTTTGTAAGTGCACCGAATTTTTTCTTTCGTCTCTCTCCAGCTGTATAAGCACATCCACTACCATTTTCAAAGCTCAAATTTTAATGCATTACAGAATAAGAAGTGCTTTGGGTTTTTATGACTAGAAATAAAGATATTCTTATGTTTGTGAAAAAAAACACTAGAATCAGGTTAATTGGTCTAATTTTGACACTGGCTGCTCGACTCAGATAGCCCCCTCTGATCCTTAGCTGGCACTCCTGACAGCTTTTCAATCTGCTGTAGTATGCAACATCCACCTCCAGCTCAATTTTGCTTAATTTATTTTAGCAAAATGTCAGTAATACAAAATGTTGATGAAAATGCTGTGACAGGGAAACCAACGTGACAGATGAAGCAGCTTTTTATATTCTTGACCCATTATTTTTCTCCCTTTAGCTGGTTGTCCTGCTTTCATCTGGCTCTTTTTGCTGTAATAGGCAGTATCTTTTCAGTCTTGCATGTTACTGATACCAAAAAAAGTATTGCATTAACCCAATACTTTGATGCTACTGAGACATTTGAATTCTTACACTTTTCCTGGGTCTTTTAATTTTGCCCTTCTTTCTGTGTTATTCCAGCCAGTCTGATCTCTTTAGTGGCTCTGGATGCACGTGAAAGACAGTAACCACTCTGCAGTGTGGAGCACAACCAAAACTAGTTGATCATATAAACTTTGTGGATCATGTATTCTCATACAAAACCATCCTTCCCTCCAGGAACCACTGACTTGAAACATAAGAGCTTTGCTTTGCTACAGCAGTTGTCTGGGAAGGGTCATCCTCAGTGGAGGAGGTGGGGAGCATCATGTACTTCCTATACTCACCATCTCACTGTTGGGGCAGAAGAACCTGTTGGTGTAGCAGAGTTCCAAAATACTGCAGTAGCTTTTGATGTTGGTTTACTGTATAGTGACATCTTTTGATCTTCATTTATTTATTTATTTATTCATTCTGATATATTAGACTTATCTTTTAGGTCTGAAAGTTTAATGCCCTCACCTTTGCTAAGAAGTACTTGTCTGTTAATTTAAAATATAGATCAGTTTACAAGGTAATGAATTTCCGTCCTAGCAATTCAGTAATATTTAGCAACTGTAGGTTTAAATAAAACCTATTAAGCTTAAAAACCAAAGGGGTTTTTGCATGCAGTTACTAAGAAGAGTGTGCCATTATTATGAAAAACAAAGAAACACAATTTATGGAGCACTGACTACCTCTACCTTTTGTACTAAACAATTCTTTCCTGCAGTTCCCAAAAATGTTTCTTATTCCTTTTAACTGTATTTGCTTTCCTGAGTTTTTAAATTGTTGAAGTGATTGACTCTTTTATGGAATAAATCATGCACTGTTCCAGAATCAGTTTGGCATTTGCATTGGTCTACTAATACAAGTCCTGATCCAGTTTTCATTGAACATAATTACTTTTTGCAACAGTTTGAAGCTGTTACCAAGATTTTCTCACTTGTCTTCATATTTTTTGAGTCTGTAATGTTCTGTCTGCAGGTTTCTTACCTTCTAAGTATAGCATCATCTGTAATATTCTCTAGATGTCAGGCTCACCTTGGGTCATGGTCTTGTAGGACATTTGACAGGCTTATAACAGAAAATACCAAATGACAGACTGAGAACATTTTAATCAGTGTTGCTGCCTTATCATCAGTTTTCTTTACTGCTTGTTTTCAGAAATGGCCCAAGTACAGCTTTGGGTTTTTGCATGCTGTAGGTCCAGTTTCAAATGAAGTGCTTAGGAAAACCATCACATAATTAGTAGTCTCAATACATTTGGGTGAAAAATTAAATGATGTGATATTTCAGGTGGACATTTCAGGTGACCCTTTAGAAAATAATCAAGTTTGATATTCTTAATTAATCTTTGCTAACTGGTCAACAGTGATCTTGCTAAGAGAGGAAAAGACAATCTATATGACAGGCTTCTAAGTTAAGCTGTTATGAGTTTAGGTCTGGGCTCTTTTGATAACAAAACTGTTGTGCACTGCAGCTGATGTTGTTTAGGAAGTAGTCCTTAAAATGACAGCAATTTGCAATTAGTCTTTCTCTTTGGAGAATGTTGCCGGAAAACTACTTTTGATTATGCTGAAAACTTGCGTTACTTTTAAACTATTTTTCACGCTCTTTGCATGTATTTTTTATGTGTTTTGTATTTGTAGAGTCCTTTTTCACCCCAAATATGAATGTGCACCAAGGAACACTTTAACAAGAGAGGAAGAATTGTTTATTTGGACATCTCATCAGACTAATCTGCACTGGGTGCCGTTCCATCCTGTTTTGGGTATCCAAACTGGCTCTCTGCAATGGTAGAATCACAGAGGTATTTAGGCTCAGTGAGAGGTCTGGTGATTATCTGATCAACTCCCACTTCAAAGCAGGGCCAACTATCAAAGTTAGATCCAGTTGCTCAGGCTCATATCCAGTAGCACTTTGAATATCTGTAAGGATGAGAATTCTACCCTTTCTGAGCCCTTTGTAAGTGTTTGTCAGCTTTCACTGTGAAAGCTTTCCTAATGTTACATAGGTATTTTCTTTGTTGTAACACATGTCCACTACCCCTCATCCTTTTGCTGTGTATGTTTGACAAGAGTCCAGCTTTGTCTTTTCTATGATCTTCATTAGGTAGCTGGAGACAACATCGCGATCCTGCCTTAGCCTTCTCTACTTGAGACTGAACAAATCTAGCTCTAATCATCTTGGTGGCCTTCCACTAGATGTTTTCTAGGATGTTAGTGTTTTGTATTGAGCTCAAAATTGGACAGTTGTTCTCCAGAGCCAAACAGAGGAGAGTAACAATTTCACTTGACCTGGTAGGTACACTCTTGCTAATTTAGCGCAACATGCAGTTCGTCTTCATTGTTGCGGAGAGCCACTGCTGACTCATGTTCAGCTTGTCAGAAAGTTCCAAAAAGGACCTCAGTCCCTTTTCTGCAAATCTGCTTTCTATTCAGTCAGCCCTCTGCCTGTGCTGTTGTATGAGTTTATTCTGTTTTCAGATGTAGGATATTGCTTTAATTGAAGTTCCTGAGGTAGGTCTCAGTCTGCCTTTCCCACCTGTTGAGGGCCCTCTGAATTGGACATCCTGACACTATGTTGACCACTTTAGCCAATTTGGTATTGTCCACAAATTTGATACTTTGATATAGTGATTAGGTCATTAAGTATGGCTAAGTCATTAATGAGGATACTAAGAATATTGACCTTAGTATCAATCCTGAGAAACACCAAGAGTGACCAGCTGCCACTTGGTCTTAATACTGCTGAACCCAACATTTAGAATCCAATAGTCTAGCCAGTTTTCCATTGATGCTATAATCCACCTATGCAAACCACAACTTGGCTACAAAGATACTATAGGAGACTGTGTCAAAAGCCTGACTAATATGAAACTAAAGAAACTCCCTTGCTTTCCCCTTGGCCACACAGCCAGTCATTTCTCAACAGATGGTTATCATGTTGGTCAGGACAAC